GGAAGATTTCGAGAGATTTATAGGCCTTCACCCTTTCCTTGAGATCAAACATCGCTTTGATCTCGAGAAGAGTATTTATCTCACCTCGCTGAGATATTTACTTTGGTTCTAGTTTCCTCATTAAAAAAAGAACACCGAACCTTCTTCACGATCAATCCAGATCTTTGAATCGGTCGTCCACGAGCTAACGTGTCCCCGACAAAGGCAAAGATCCCACGCAAGCAGCGATTGATAAACAATCTCTGCGTGTGTTACTAGGAGATCCTCTTTTTGTTTCTTTTGTAAAGAGAAGCCTTATAAAAAGGCTCACTCTTGTGATTCTGTTGTAAGATGATAAACGTTGTAATGGATTCTGCAAAGAAATTGATTGCAAACACAAACAGGAACATATAAAATCCATTTATAATATTTCACACTAAAAAGACTTAATCTACAATAAACCAATACTACAACATCTTTGATTTTCCAAACATGTACAAAGTTAACATGTATTGATTTAGGTTAACATGTGCTGCTAGAAACTTAACATGTAGTTCAATAAACTTAACATTAATACTAAAACAATTAACAAATAACACTATAAATTAAACAACCATTTATTAAACTTAATACTAATAATTGAAACTTTAACTTCTCCAACAACCAATCTAGAGCATTAACAAGCACTGCATATCTTCCATTCTTTCAAAAAATAACATTTTCTTACAACATGTAAAATTTGTTTGTAATAAACTAATACAAAAATATCTTTAACTTTCCAAATAGTTACAAATTAACAAACACAACCATAAAATTCAAAAAAAAAATCACATAAATTGCAAACAGTCTACAAACATAAATCAAATTATTAAATACTAATATGCTAAACTTACTACTTTCTATTGCAGGAATCATCTCCTTTTGAACTCTTTTTCTTGTCTTAGCCATGTTGTTCAGCCTTTTACATGTCCAAAAGGGTCTGAGTCGCTTCATCCCTGCTGTCATTCCCAGAGAAATGCTATGATTCATCGTCGTTTGAAAAGTCACCAGGGTCATCACTTGAGGAAGCTAAGGGATCATCACTTATAGGTTCACCATCAATGATGGTAGCACAGAGCACATGAATGACCTTTGCTGATGAGGAATTAACTTTATTTTTATATTTTGATCATCATTCACGCCCAACGTTCTAAGCTGATACTACTTTGTGGTCCTTCTTTAGCCCTCCATTTTGATGAACCACTTCAAAATCATAAGTGCCTTCATCCTTTGTGGCCGAATTTGATGATTCCCTGTCAAAATTTGAGTTTTTTTTATCATTAACACCGGAGAAAACCCTAACCCCAGGTAGAATTTCGTGAGGGAGAAAGAAACTTTTGTGTTCACTATGCTCCTGTTAATAATAGAAGAGAGAGAGAGAGAGAGAGAGAGAGAGAGAGAGAGAGAGAGAGAGAGAAATAATGTGAAAAAAAAAAAAGAGAGAGAGAGAGAGAGAGAGAGAGAGAGAGAGAGAGAGAGAGAGTAATTCAATTTGGGCTATGAGGCACGGTTACCGATTATTGAAGGATCCATAAACCTGCCATTAGGGGTAGCATGGAAACTGGGCTATGGGGCACGGTTACCGATTATTGAAGGATCCATAAACCTGTCATTAAGGGTAGTATGGAAACTGGTGAAAGCACCCTAATGCCACCACGAAGGAACCCTAGAGGGGGTGAATAGGGTTTATGCTAATCTAATCCGATTTATGCTAATTAAAAACTTATTAACAAATATATCCTAGCAAATGAGATATGAACAATATATATGCAAGGATATTAAACTAAACATGGGCAATATAAATATAGATAATATAGTGGATAAAATAAACAATGAGAGAATGATAATAAAGATGAACAAAAATATAAATGCGCCAAGCCAAACTCAAACACAAGATATGATCATGGAGTTCGGTCCCCACGACCTACATCTCCGCTCCTCACCTCGAGGAGATCACCACTATCACACCGGGTTTTCTACGCTTACCCGAAAAACGTTTACATCTCACAATATCGGTTTTCAACGCTCACCGATCAACGTTCACAATCACTCATAATGTAACTATATTAACTATCACCTCAAGTGTTGGTCTCTAGCTCGTATCTCCCTCAAGTGTTAGGAATTATAATCTTTCTCTAGGCCTTACCACCTATCCCACTCCTCTTGGGATGACCCCATCTCTCACCACACACTCCTCTTGGTGTACTAGTGTAATACAATATAATCTTCACAATTAAGGTACATAACACACATATCTACATAACTAAACCAAAACCAAAACTTGTATGTGTGTGTATGATTGGGCTTAAAGTACTAACACACATAATATAAAAACCTAAACTAAATTACCCAAGCTTGATCTTGATCTTCAATAAGCTCTTCTTGGTAAACTTGCAGATGAAGCTTGAACTTGGATCTTCAACTTGAATTGTATTGCTTCACTCCACAATTTCGCCAACCTCCATTGGATTTGATCGTGAATTCTCAATTTCATCCATCCTCCAACATGTTGTTTGCCTAGAATAAATACGAAAATACAAACACTAGACAAACAACATTAGTGGTAAATTATTTGTTAAACATCATCAAAACAAAAGGACCCAACAACTGGGGGTGTTTTTTTCTCTCACTGCTTAGTTGGCAGTGTGATTAGGCCTTAAACACAAATACAGTTTGAATTTGGGGCTAAAACACTTGACTCAGCATTAAGGGCATTGTCACATGAGCCGTTTAATATTAGGGCCTTGGTACAATTTTTCCTACTTTCTTTCTAGAATTTAGCAAAAGAGATTAGATATATTTTCATGCTTAAAGTTAATGATTTCTCTAATATTACTAAAAGTTTTCCTTCTTTCTTATATGATTTTCTGTAGAGGCTCACCTACACTCTTTATATGAAGAGTTTTTTTTTGTTCCCCTCCCATTAGGGATCCTTATTAGAGCCCATGATATAGGAGTAGGATGATCTATACTATAAATGGAAGAGTTATAATTTCCAAACTAATCCTCTAACCACTCGTAAATAGTATAAATTACCTATTTCTATGGGGTGTTCTGATAAAATTCTTAGTTATAAATCCCCTACATTGACCCCCACCCGATTGCCCACAAGACGGTAGAAGTTGCTATGTCTAAACTGTCCGAGTAATATATATTTAGGTTTTTAGATGATAATCACCTTTACTTTTAGCCAAATTGATGCTTGTCACCTTAAGTTTTTATTTTTGACAGAAATTACTTTTACTAACCTACATGTTTCCCGATTTCAGCCCAAAAACATGTGAAATTCTCATTTTACCCCCACCTGTAGCACATAATGACCATGTGTGTCCAATATTATTATTAAATAAGAGTTTTTTTAAATATTAGTCCTCCAAAGCTTTCATATTTTGATATTAGTTCCTCAAGTCTCTCTCTTTCTCTCATTCATGGCTAACCCAAGCCTCCAAACCCTAATTCCCAACCGTTAAACCTAATCTCACCTCCTTTCAATCCTTCCTCTCCTACTCCTCTAATCAAAGGGGAAAAAACCTCAATCCTCCCATAAAACTTGACTTCACCACCCCTCAATCCTCTATCTCTCCTACCCTCTAATCCAAGAAAAAAAACCCCTCTAAACCCTAATTTCAGCTTCCCCATAATCCTCTCCGGCGAGGATGACGCTCTCTGGTGAGGATTAGCATTGATTTTAGGGCTAATTTCAACATATGATGATTTAGGGTATTAATTGAAAGTATGAAATTTTTGGGGACTGGTATCAAATAATCTTTGCCTTTAATAATTAATTAAGTCCCACATGCTGTGCATGTGTTTGGGCGAGGATATAATGGGCATTTCACGTGTTTTTCGTGCTGAAATCGGATTTTGGTGTGACATGTGAAATGTAAAGATCAGTAAAGATGGTTTTTGTTTAAATTAAAAACTTAAGGGTGGTATTTATCAATTTGGCTAAAAGTATGAAAAAACCAACATCTTCTCATGGTGAAAATAGTTTAGAAATGCTATGCATAGTAAAGCTCTGGTTCCATGGTCTAGTGGTCAGGACATCGGACTTTGAATCCAATAGCCCGAGTTAACTCTCGATGGGACCTCCAATTTTTTTTTTCAAATTCGATTTTACCGAAATAATCAAACGTTCTACCTGACGGCCAGCTCCTTTCCATTTATCAAACCTACTACCTACAGTCGGCACTATTTACCTCTAACTTTCTAATGATCTAATGAAATTTACCCTCATCGCCTTATTCTTTGATCTGCGATCCACAATATGCAGCAATGTTATGTTGAATAACATCTTTGAAAATCCCGGATACCTCTTCACTTGGGGGCTGTTTGGTTGTATGTTTTTACCATGTAAAAGGATGTAAAGTGTAAAAAAGTGGGTCTCAATGTCAGCTTTCATCACTTTCAATTGTTTGTTTGTAGTTGTGAAAATAGTGTAAAGTGATTTCATATGCTGATGTGGCTTGTAAATTGATTTCATGAAAAAAAGACATGATTTTAGGAGAAAGCTAACATTGAAGTTAGGAAAAAATAATAAAAAATAATTCCAACCAATATGATCATTTGAGTAGGGACCACTTTTTACACTTTCCAAACAAACAATTAAAGTTTTATTTTGCAAACCAAACAAGTGTTTTATGATTCCAATGGAATAAAAAACAAACAAAGAAAAATATAAAAGTGTAATTGATGAGGTGGACAACAACTTTTCAAGTTGTGTCATAAAAACACAACTTTACCAACAACAACCAAACAGCCCCTTGGAGTGTTAAGTGGAATTTTCTTTTATTTTTTTTGTTTTAGTGGAAAAACAAAGTTTGGGGGTTGCGTGCGCAACGCTCCAAAGTATTGAGGGGTTTAGCGGAATTTATGGGACTACCCGAGGAGAGACTCAACAGGTAATAAAGAAAATGTTCGAAGGCTAATTCCGGAAAAAAAACATCTGATACTTTTTTAATATGCAACAGATATTGTCGACGTAAGAAGAAAGCTGACTATTTCTTCCTCTTCCCCAAAAATCCCTCAACTTTTGTTTCTTTTTCTTCTCTCTCTCATCGCCCAAACTAACGGGTCGGCCTTCTCCCTTCCCGAGATCCGCCGATCCAACACCCGGAGCTCTCTGTACTCCGGTGCGGGTCTCGGATCCTGCAACCCAAACCCGATATCTCGCCCGTTTCGCCCGGTTCAAGATGGTGTCGGCCAATCGCGAAATGGCGGTCTACTGCTTCGATACCCTCGTTGCCCATTACAACAGCGATCAGGCGCCTCCTCCCTCTTTCGATGAAGGCGAACAGTGAGAATCTGTTCAATTTTTTTAATTTTTAATTTTTTGTAATTTCTTTGGTCTGATCGTTGAATGCAATTTCTGTTAGTTTTTAGGTTCTGTTTGGTTAAAATTGAGTGCATTGTTTCTGATTGTGTCTTTTGATGATTGTAAAGAACACTAGCATGGGCAAAGTTGATTACTTGTTTGATTTAAGGTTGAACTTGATTCAAAGATTTGATCTTTTCATTGGTCTGAGTAGGGTAAGGATTTTTAAGTAATTATTTTATCATTTCATTGATAAGCTCGTGCAGTTTGCAAAAATGCTTGATTTTGTTGGTCTCTATTTGACCTGTTTCTACTGCTTGCATGAGCTTCTGCTTGTTTGTATTGTGTTTCTATTTGGGGCTTTTCCCACCTTTAACTGCGTCCAGTTTGAACGGATAACTGAGATTTTAGATACTTTTGTTCCATAGGATTCCTAGCATGATCAGGAAATGCTAATAGAATATTTTTCTTTTTATTTTCGTGTTGGGCAATACAAATAATTTATATCTGTATTGTTTTCAAAATTATTATTGACAAAAATTGACAAGGTGCTGAACTGAAATGAATTGACAAGGTGTTGAACCGAAATGAATTGCCATAGGTGTTAAGACTCATCACTGTCCTAAAGTAGACAAAAAGGATCCATCATGCAAAATGATGATGTGTCTTACTTGAATTTTCATGCAATTATGTATCTATCTATGAAGCTAGAGTCCTCAATGTGTCTGTTTATTTCTAGGTTCAATTGAGTATCTAATTGGTCAGTGGCTTAAAAATAAACTTTTTCATCTTTCCTCACTTATATATGAATTTATGAAGGATAGAAAAAGAATGAAACATACAAAAGGGTAAAATAATTTACAATTTATCTCTCTGAGTGCAACAGGATTGTAAGACAAGAATAGAAAAAGAATGAAACATACAAAAGGATAAAATAATTAATAATAGGGACGATGAAAAGTTAATTTTCTAGTTGAGTGTGGTTTATGCTGGTATTATTATGTGAATGTGCATAGAGAGTAATATGCACACATTTGAAAACATGTAAGGATTATAATAATAGAAACTCTTATCTTTTTAACAAATAGAAAGCAAAGTACTCTGATTAGAAAACACAACAAAATTCTAGTTGCATTAAAACCCAAAGTTTGACCTCCAAACTTTTAAGCCATATGTAACCAAAAGCTTCGAGTCAAGGTTTTAAAAAAATGCTCAAAACAAGCTAAGTTGAGCAATAGAGCTCATTTAACCAATTAGTGATGACTCGTGAATATTATTTTTCGGTTCCCCAATTTTGGTGATCCAAATTGGGAGCACATCATGAATTGATACAGTTGAACTTGGACTTAGAATTTACAACTCGCTTATTCTAGAGATATAGTTTAAGAATATCAATTATCTTTTCCTTAGCAAAGATTACTTTGTATTAGTATTCTTTTTAAGCCAAGTAGTCAATAACAAAGTTTTCGTATCTTCTTTAGCCTAACTCAAACAACTTATGATAGTTCTCTAAAAATTTAATATCAGAATTTTCAGACTCTAAAGTACTCTTACGAACATTATTTTGCAACCATGGTTAGATTGATGTTTTTCTTGCATTTATCTAATTTCATGCATTGTTTATACCTTTGGAGTGGCTTCGGTTGATATCCTTAATCATTTGGTTAAATTAAGGCACTTAATGGTTTAATGCATTTCATGTGTTATATCAATTGACTCTTACCTTCAGAAGGCTCTAGATATTTGTTAGTTAGCCTTTAGGTTTTATTTACAGATTTTTTTATTGTGCGTCTATTGCTTTAGTTGATAACTAGCGAGTAGTGAAGAACTGATCTGTCATAAATGCTTTCTGATTTCAGCCCACTGTTTGTTACTTGGAAGAAAGCTATTAATGGTGCTGAGCCACGCTTACGGGGTTGTATTGGTACACTAGAAGCTCGGGACCTGATCAATGGTTTTAGGGATTATGCTTTAACTAGGTATTTTCGTTGTGTCTTTCTGCACTCTTCCTGCATTTTCTGTGTTGATTATTTTATTACATAACCAGCAGTATCTTTTTTTCTGGCATGCTCTTTGTTTTCATTTTCTTTTATCATTTTATGTTATTACTTATTTGAAAACTAGTTAATCTTAATTATCTTAGAAGACGGTAAAGAGAAGGAAATAGTAGTAATTGAAAACAATAGAAAAACTGGATTTATTATCCATCTGTTTGACCTCAGGTTGTAAGGAAGCATGTACAATACGCACGCACGCTGCAATCATTATGTCATGTGCATTTTTCTACCTTAGTGATCAATACATGTTATTGTTGAATTTCTCATGCATTTGTTTGATAATAATGTTAGCAGGTCATTAATTTATCTTAATTATTGATAGTGCAACTTATTATGGATTAGCCGACCGTGTCAAAAATTGGCCATATGCTTCAGGTATGTGCTATATATGGCTTCGCCATATATGTATTAACCTCTTGAATGCAAGAGGGAAATGAAATGTTTAGATTGCATAAATGTAACTATACATGGTTGCAAAATTGTTTAAATATTGACTCATAGTATCCAGTTGTTTATGCATCCAATTGTTTATGATTTTAGCCAATAGTAGTTGAGTTCTTAAATGTACTGGCATACATTGATGGGTGTAAATGCAGTTCATTGTTTAATAACTTTTTTGTTGGTGGAGCGGTTTTACTTGTTTATCTGATTATATTTTATCATAGGTCTTAATTCTCAATATTTCTCATTTTCTTTTGTCCTTTAAGCTTTAAGTTATAGAAGTTTGCTTCGATAGCTTATATGTTTGACAAGAACTCTTGCGGCGTTCACTGTTTTGAAAGATGGAACCTGGCAGTTCTTGCTGACTGATTTTAGAATCAAGCTAGTTTTTGGTTCAATCCTCTAGTACGTCAACATTCCATTTCCATTACTTACTTACTTTTGATATGTTGATTAATTTAGTTCTTCATTACTTTTGATGTTTTGGTATATAGACACCTGATATTCTTTGTAAATCAATATGCACAAACAGCTCTTGGAAAAAAAAAAGGATTAATAAAACCAAGTAGATACAAAATCAAAGCATAATGCAGCTTGATTGGGGTTGCTTAAGCTATGTTAAGTGGAAGAAGAGGAATTAGGTGAAATTTTTGGTTATATATTGTGGCGATGCATGCCTTTTCACTTTTGGAACTGCAATTGTTAAATGGTGAATATGGGGTTTTCTATATATATTTTATTGGGTAAGTGTGAGCCGCAAGGAAAAAGGTTCTGTACATCAATAAGTAGGAAAACTGTGTTTCTTATGCTCATGGCACAGGCTTAAGAAATTAGAGTTGGTCATTATACAGCCATAATATATCACACCATATAACTGATTAAATTTCTGCTGTAATATATCATCAAGTAGATCCTGGTCAAAAAAGTGACCATCCTTGCATTTTTACTATTTCTTAGACCCTTCTCTTACTTTTTTCATCTTTTAAAAACTATGTACTAGCTTGAAAGAAAACAAATGGAAGATATTGGGATAGCTGTTTTTAGGATGAATGTGATTTTAGGGTGAAAGAAAATATTTTTACTCTAAATCTGTTAAGCAAATTGGTTTACTTTTTTGGCTATTGTAACTCCTCCTATTGCTTTCTTTTCCTAATATAAGTTTTCAATTATTATGTATAGTGTGGTCAATTGCTACTAATTACCAACAATTAGACCTGCCAATAAGAACTTTACCTGGCTTATCTGTTACCAATGGATCTGCTGGACCTGGTTTTATCCCTGAAAACCATATATTTGTTTGCTATTTCTGATGATAGTTATTCTTCTTGGTTAAGTTACTTTAGCCAATGCTGTTATAGTTGTTATCTTGTTCTACTGGGGCTACGAAACATTGATGTGGGACACACAACATTGTACAAAGTAGGACAAGAGTTAGAACTTTTGGTTTGTGTGGAATTTATCAATGTTTTTTAAATCCCTAGATCTTGTTCATTTCAATTTGATTATCTGTCATGTTTGCTGGTGTAGTGGATATGGTATATCTTCTACTTATGGTCAAGCCACTATATCTAGTTCCCTATCTGATATTTTACTATTCTTTGAAGTGCAAGTCCATGCTAATTTACCAGGTGTTCTTCAGAAACTTTTGTAAGGCCCTGGTGTTGTTCCATGCAAAGTGTCATAAAACCTCAGCTAATCAAAACTCATGTTTGCTCTTGCAGTGCGCTGAGGGACCGCCGATTCTCTCCAATACAAGCTAAAGAATTACCATTTTTGGAATGTACAGTTTCCGTACTAACTAATTATGAGTCTGCTCTTCACTACCTTGATTGGGAGGTCTGGCCCTAGAGAACCCTGCTTCTTTTTTTTTAATAATGTCGTAGGGAGAGTACTTTATCAATTTGCTTTGATGATCACACCATATAGATGTAAATAAGATCTAATATCGTCCAAAAAATGGATGGCATAACTTTTGAATACTTTGCAGAACTTTGATGTAGGATATGATCATATATTCTAATTTTTTTACTATTGGCTTACTATGCATGGGAATAACTAACTTATAGGTCTGCGTACATGAGTACCAATAACTTTCTACTACTACTACTACTACTATTATTATTATTATTATTATTAAGAGATTTCAGTGACATGTTTTTCTGGCTTTTTTGTTGACGCATCTATATAGCATTTGTCCCCTGTTTTACTCTTTATGACCAGGCCAAACATTTCTTTTTCCCTCATATTATCTCTGCCATTTACAGTCGGTAACTATATGTTTGTATGGTGGTGGTGATGGAATTTTTATCTCATAGGTTGGAAAGCATGGTTTAATTATTGAGTTTACTGACCCTGATAACAATATAAGGCGCAGCGGAACTTACTTGCCAGAGGTGGCTGCCCATGAAGGTACATTCTATACTCTTCTTTGTGCGCGGGGTGGGTTCCTTTAGTTTATTTTGTTGCTTTATGGTAAGTCATGAATTGGCAAAGGCTTAGTATTTTCCATTGCCTTTGGTGATATAAAATTATTGACCCAATCAGAATCAGGGCTCGAACTTGGATAGACAAAAATAAGGAATTTCAGAGATGGGTCACGTTTTAGCTTTTGAAACCTGAACAATTGATGTGAAATTGCTTGACAGTACATCTTGTATTGTTAGTCTTTTCTGAGGCAAATTATACTTGCTATATGTCACTTGCCTTATCCGAGGCACATTGTCCTTGCAAAATCAAAGAAATGAAATCAAGTACTATCTTACATAAACCATCCATGTTCTGGAACTAGCATATTGTGATAATTTGATTTTTAATTTGTGACAAGCAAGGATCTCATTACTTAAACTTTGGTTAGTTTCCACCTTAGAAAATTCTGATCATGGTGTAAGTACTGGACCTTTATTATTTAGAACCCACTTGTTTTTGTTCAAATCTAGTTAGATTATTAACTAAGTATGATGAACATAATGCTAAACAATACTTATGCTGAGATAATTGCATATTTGATGAAAAATAACCTATATTAAATTTGTACTTACACAGTTAATTTGTATCTGATGATTAGATTATTAGGCTATTTTCCATCCAAATAGGCATATATGTCCAATGTAGATGTCACATGTATTGATTGTGTAAATTGGATGGTGAAAATTCTAACTCTATTCTTCGCACGTTGAATATTCTCATATCATTTCTTGTTTCTTTCCTTTTTAATCACTTCCTGAACAGAAACTTCCATCTTGTCGAAACATAGGTTGGACAAAGATCGAAACTATCGATTCATTGATGAGGAAAGCGGGATACAATGGGCACATCACCGAGGCACACCGCAAGAGGCTTAACATCACACGCTACCAGAGCACCCTCTACACCATGCACTTCAATGAATATGTCTCCTACGTGAAGACAACAAGAGGGGCTCCCCCTATAATTGTTGGGGTCAAGCCCACCCATTGATTTCAACAGCCTGTTAGCATTTCTTAAATTATTGCTGCTAGCTTTATCATTTACCTTCCATTGTGAAGCAGTTGGGGGATAAAATGTACTTTGAAACCCAGCCCTTCTGCTTATTGCCTATTCCATCATTTGTTAAAACTCGAATTTGATGGGTAAGGAGGAACCTCCTGTTATCAAAACAGTGTCAGCTTTTATAAAACAGCTTCGTCTGTAAGTAGCATCCTGCAAAGGTTTCATGTTCTTTTAAGTTGTATATGGAACTCATATGCAGCGACCTATGACTGAGCTCGGCTCAGGGCCGGACTATGGCTTTTTCATGTTCTTTTTAAGTTGTCTCCGTAGAATCCAACAGCAGGGAGCTCTTTACTGAGCTCGGGGAAGGGCCAGAATGTATTGCTCTCCTGTTAGTTTTCCCTTGGGTACTCGCTATTTTCCGTTTTTGACGGTTTAGATTTTGGATACGTGCATGCTATTTTGAGTGAGGCTGAAAACGAATCTAATGTGGAGGTGTTTATATTTACAGGGTAAATTTCATCGAAATGAAGAGAACATTAATAAACCACAGGAGGATGCAAATGCAATTTTTTGACTTACAATATGAGTGCATTTATCTATCAACTCTAGTCATATCGGACCTGATACATCGAAGTCATATCGGACCTGGCACTAATGAGTTCTAAGAAAAGTTCACGAAAGAAATTGTTAATGACCAAATCAGAAAGTAGATTAAAGATAAGGTTTCGACTGCAGAGATAACATATGTGCAAGAATCAAGAAGTATAAGCTTAGACTACTTGAATAAAATGGTTGTTTTTTATTTGAATAAATCCAATTGAAATGACTACTCCCTCTCCAATTGAATTGACAAGTCTCTGCAATTAAAGTTAAAAAAATGTATGAATTGACAACTCTCTGGTATGAATTGATAACTCCCTGCAATTAAAGACGAAGGGTTGAATTGACCACTCCATGCAATTAAAGACAAGGCATGAATTGACAACTCTCTGTAATTAAAGACAAAGGGTTGAATTGACAAGTCTCTGCAATTAAAGACAAGACATGAATTGACAACTCCCTGCAATTAAAGACAAAGGGTTGAATTGACCACTTTATGCAATTAAAGACAAGGCATTCATTGACAACTCTCTGTAATTAAAGACAAGGGTTGAATTGACAACTCTCTGGTATGAATTGACCACTCTATGCAATTAAAGACAGAATGCATGCCATACGCCACATGTCGTTGCAATTGCATGTTTTTGAACAAAGGTTTTTATTATAAATGCTGACCAAATGCACAACTTGGAGTATACCTATCAACATTTTTTCTACATACCCTCCAATGGATCCAAACCTAAATGAATTCAATCTCGAATACTTCCAACAAGAATGGGAGTTAGAAGATAAAATGTTTGATAGGCAACAAGAACTGCTTGAAGAGTTGCTTAGGAGAGAAGAACAACCGCGCAAGAGAAAGTCCATATATAGAGATCATCAAGCAGCGCATGAGAGGCTCATGGCCCACTACTTTGTCGAATCATGCACATACACTGATGCCCAATTTCGACGAAGGTATCGAATGAATAGGCCTCTCGTTCTACGAATTGTGGATTCTATGTCAAATTTCGACGTTTACTTCACACAACGTCGTAATAATGCGGGCAAGCTTGGTTTAACCCTTATCCAAAAGTGTACTGCTGCCCTACGCATGCTCACATATGGAGTAGCAGTTGATGTTTGTGATGAGTACGTGAAGATAGGAGAATCTACTGCGGTTGAGTGTACTCAAAGGTTTTGCGAAGGGGTAATAGCCTTGTTTCAAGATGAATACTTAAGACGACCCAATGTGCAAGACTTGCAGAGGTTAATCCTAGTTGGACAAGAGCGTGGTTTCCTAGGGATGATTGGAAGTATCGATTGCATGCATTGGCAGTGAAAAAATTGTCCAAAGGCTTGGCAAGGGCAGTTTACTAGTGGACACAAGGGCACAGCAACAGTTATTCTCGAGGCAGTTGCATCATATGATTTGTGGATATGGCATGCTTTTTTTGGGCTTCCTTGTAGTTTGAATGACATAAATGTACTAGATAGGTCACCCGTTTTTGATGACATTGAGTCTGGTGAAGCTCCAATGGTAAACTTCACTGTTAATGGACGGCAGTACAATATTGCATACTATCTTGCTGACGGAATCTATCCAAAATGGCCTGTCTTCGTCCAGTCAATTCAAATGCCCCAGGGATCCAAACAACAATGTTTTGCCAAACAACAGGAGTCATGCAGGAAGGACGTGGAGCGCGCATTCGGGGTTCTCCAAGCACGGTTTGCTATTGTCCGCCAACCAGCTCGAACGTGGGATCTTGAAGTCTTAGGTAAAATAATGAGGGCGTGCATTATTTTACATAACATGATAGTGGAAGATGAACGAGATTCGTATTCGCGAAACTGGGAAAATATCGACTTTGAACCGTCAAACAATCCTAGCTCTTCCGCCTCTTCCAGTGTTCAAACAGACGTATTGCCTGAGTTTCAAGTCCATGTTCGAGACCGATCCGGATCGGATAATCATACTAGAGCCGAACTACGAGATAGGAGCCAACATATTCAGTTGAAAAAGGATCTCATCGAGCACATTTGGCAGAAATTTGGAACAACCTCTGATTAGATTTACCAATTTAATGTGTGTTTTCTTTAATGTTTTCAATAATTTGTGTGTGTTTGACTTTTCCGTATGCTTAATAAAATCGTGTGTTTTTTGTTAATATAAAAATATTATCAAAAATTAAATTAATAATATATATTATTTATGTAAATATTAAAAAATTATAATTATAAATAAATGAGTTATATTAGTAATAATAATAGTAGTAGTAGTAATATATATGAAATAAGAAAAAGAAATGAATAAATAAGGTGGGGTATATATGTTGGAGTGATGGGGTTATAGTGGGTCCCAAATAAAGTAAAAATCTTTTGAAAAAACTCCTGCTGTAGAGATGATAGAAAATAGAGATTGTTGAATTATGTGGAGGGGGAATAAAGTGATGTGGCAGGAGAGAGAAAGTTAAAATTTCGACTCCTGCTGGAGATAGTCTTAGAGACATTTTTTTTTCCTCCCCCCTCTTTTTCAAAATTTTCGATCAATATAAGAAGCACAAATATGATTTAGAAAGAGTCAATTTATTTATTTCTTTATTTCTTTTTCTTTTCTTAACTTTTAGGCCAATATAGGAAGCGCAAATATGTTTCTAGAAGCAAATCATGGTTTACATCGGAGGATCATTCTAAAATGATATTTAATGTTAAAGGCAGAAATTTGTTTAAGAACTCAGATTTGTTTACCTTTCAAAGTAGTAACTTCAATTCTCTCCTTCCAATTTGATAACTATAGATTCCTTTCTTTTTTTTTTTTTTTTGCTTTTCTTTTCTTACAAGACCAGTGCTGAAAACCGTGCGGGGTTTAGAGAATGTATGTCTTATTCCCAATGAGATCGTGCAACTTCCAGAAAAGAATAACTGAATGAAATGTTTTCAAAATTATCAAGCCATAAAATAGCACTGCTATATAACAATATTTCTCAAGATTCTCCTCTCACCTTTTCTTCAATCTATAGGAAATCTTAGCGAAGAGGCTCGTCAAAGACAGCTACGTGACACAGCCGTATTTGATATTGTTTTGGTGGTGCAATTTTCGTCACCATGACAATATGAACTAAGGTGGCAACATAACTATGTTTGGAATTTGACACCATGACAAGATTTTCAGAACTGTATTACATCCTTTGAAACTGCACATATACAATTAAAACAGTTAAGAGCTTTTAACCGTGAAGATGGTCACCATAAGTTAAGTCAGGATTTCAATTCTGATTCTTTTTTTCGGTGAGCAGTCCTCAAGTCTTTCCACATCAATTGCTTGTCAGATGCGTGGCAATGTGAAAGAAGAGATCCCTTCCAAGTTTTGCAAGGAGCTGGCGTATCACAAACGTAACAATAGCACTGCACCATTGAAGAGTTCTCAGTATTATAACATTTGAACATAACAAGGGTAAATGAAAACTATCTTGAAGGAAAAAGAAGATAACCAAGTCTGATAGAAGAAACATGGGGAAATAAAGTGTCCCATGAAAGTGAATTATCTGAAAAAAAATTAAAAAAATACATAGACTAGTAAAGATAAACAGATCCAACTCCACCATCAGACTCATTTTTCACGTGAAATAACAATATCACATCTAGCACAAGTAAGTTATCAGATAGGCTCTGACAAGGTCACCAAGGGTATAAAGTTTAAGCATCATTCTCCCTCAAAGAGTACTAAAGTTCAAGCCTCATGCTCCCTACTAGTCGACAGTAACTTTTCTAGAACATTTAAAACACATTGAACATGTCATACTTCAATATATTTAGGGTTAAGTTCACAAAAAAACCACGAACTTTGGGAGAGCAGATGACCATCCAGAACTAATTTTATTCTGCTAAACCCCCTGAACTCTTTTTATTCCACTAAACACCCATGAAGCTCACACATTTAATCCCCAATATAACACCGTCAAGACTAATATCACAAGTCCAGCACATGACAAAAAAAAAGACAAAATATTCCTCAGGTGAAAAAGAATCCCTCACTTATCCTTTTCAAAATTCAAAATGGGCGGTTTTTAGGGCTCAGGGGTATTTTCAACTTTTTTGTCACATGCTTGCCACATGACACATTAGACTAGACAGTGTTAGTTTTTCTTTTATTTTCTTTTTTTTAAGGGGGGGGGGGGGGGGG